GGCTTTGGTCCCGTGGCTCTGTTCAGACCCTGTGGTGACATCCTTAAGCCGCCTTGCACCCTACTGTGTTGCTTTGACACCTGGTTGCCACTGTGTCGAAACGCACTTGCAAAACAAAAACAAATCCCAAACTGACCTCTAGTGTTTTCCAATTATGGAAACGCCTGGTAGCATCACTCTAATTGTCTTATCAGCACAGCGATTAGAAGTCTCGTTTCAAGGGGTTTCTAACTCGGATATGAATATCTGATCTTGGCGAGTGCTTGACATGACCGCTCTGAGCCACGTCGCTAGTCGTTTATTGACCCAATGCAAAGAACTCCTTTTGGGTAGCTCTGAGCTATGTGGCAGGAGGAAGAAAGAAGAACGTGGGAGTTTGGGATATATTTTTGCATCCCTCTAACGGCGGCGTTTGACAAGGATCGTGGAGACGGTAAGCACAGTTTAGTTGCAGACTTCTGTGTATGCACAGGACAGACAAGAGTTGTGCAAGTTTCCCCGGGAAAGCCCTGGCCAGCATGCATCAGCCGTGCCCCAGAATTGCCCCGTCTCCGAGGCTGAGCCGGGAATGTGATCTCTGTAGCCGATTCCCTTCTTGGCCTCTCTTCCGGCCCTTCCGACAAGGAGATCAACTAGTCCTCCAGGCAGTGGATGGCGACAGACCACTAACTCAGTTGCATCCAGGCCTCACAGTTGCTAGGTGAGAAGGTCTTTCTGTAATTACTGCCCTGGGTCAAATTTGCAGGGGCGGGGCTGAGGGCAGAAGGGGCGGGGCCTACAGCAGTCAGCCCTTCCCACCACCCAGACTGCAGTGTTTTCCTCTCCCAGCCGTTAAAGTCAGGTGGCGTGGCGGAGAGGTGCTCCCACGGCCGTTCAAAGGGGTCTGGCTGTTCAAAGGAGTGGTGGCAGCAGCTGGGGGTTCTGGACCCCCATGACACACCGGGCCCCCATGTAATTACCTCCTTTGGCCCCTCCCCCCATCCCGTCAGCGGGTCTGATTGATACTAAACGTATGACCGTGTCTGAGGTCAGCTTAGATGATCACGGTGATCTCTTCTGGCCTTAAATCCGTGACTCAAGGAACCGGCCTGCCTGCCGGCAATACTATTTATTATCCTCCAACCCTGATCGGCTGGCACTTTTCCTCCCAGCCTTTCGTCCCTGGGGAAACAGTGCCGCTGAGGTTTGGGTTGCATGTAACCAGGTAGGATAGCAAGGAAGTTCTCCTGCAAACAGGTGCTTTGTTTCGGACATAGATTTGTTCCTGGAACCAGGCTGTGTGTCTTTGGGCTTTGTCCGATGTGTCCTTTTGGCAGAGAGAAAACCTGATTGTGCCCCAAAAAGAAAAGGCTGAAAGGCAGCCCCCACTGTGAACTGATGCACGGTGATTGTGTTCGATGTCGCATGTATAGCTGACAGGGGGAAGCAAAAGGATTAGCAGCTTGTTTGCATCTCGTATGTCGGCGTGGCGCTGCTTTCGGTACAATGAGAGTCTGACCTTTGGGGAGTTGCTTTTCGGTGCCTTCATTCCCGCTCCTACCCTTGTCTTGCCTATGTACAGCGTAAGCTCCTTGGAGCAGGAACAGTCCCCTATTAGATGTGGGGGCTGTGGCTAGAGCAATACAGCCTGATCTGAGCTGTAAGGTTGGCATCTCGTATGTCGGCGTGGCGCTGCTTTCGGTACAATGAGAGTCTGACCTTTGGGGAGTTGCTTTTCGGTGCCTTCATTCCCGCTCCTACCCTTGTCTTGCCTATGTACAGCGTAAGCTCCTTGGAGCAGGAACAGTCCCCTATTAGATGTGGGGGCTGTGGCTAGAGCAATACAGCCTGATCTGAGCTGTAAGGTTGCACAGGGAACATTTCACACGTCCAGTATTTTCTGATTTTTTACCAGACAGGGGGCCCGAATAACAGACAGTCCGGGCAAAAACCGGACACCTGGCAACCCTTCTGGGCCAGGGTGTCTGTTCCTACAGGAATACAAAGGCTGGTCCAGCTTACCCGGGAGATCCATCCGCAAAGGGTCCATTCCAGGCCTGCGCTGGAGAGTCTGGGACGGGTGGATGTGCATGTGTTTGTCTGAAACCACAACACACTCAGCACCCGGCTTTGCTTTGATTCCAAAGCCGCGCTGCCCGGCGTGCGGAGTTCCCCGGCTGTCTCCAGTGCGGTTGTGGCTGCAGGAAGCGCCCGGCTAATAACAACCTCGCTGCAGATTTCAGAGCCCGGGACTTCTCGAACACGTGTTCATCCCTGTGACAGGCTGGGTCGGCTTTACCCTGGGGGATGCGGGAACGGCGCTCCGGGACTTGAAATGTGCTGGGCTCAGCTTGGGCCATTACAGAGCAAGGGGGTAGAGTGGGGGAGGGGAACCTTTTGGAGTCGGGGGGGCTGCTGACCCACAGAAAAATCTGACGGGAGCTGCACACAAGTGAGAAGCAAAAAATCCCTCTCAACTCTCATTGCAAAGGAGAAGGATGCTTCCTGCATTCCCCTCCCACACCAGACCCCCCCCGGCTAGTGGATTTTGTGTGCCCCAGCCCCACAGGGAGACGGCCGGGGGGCTGGAGCAGCAGCACAGGCTCCCCAATGCTGTGGGGAGAGCCCTGAGCCTTGGGGGCAGGATCCAGGCACGTCAGGGCCCACCCTTGGGTGAGCGCAATGGAATCCTTTTCTGCTCTGAGACCCTCAATGCTCAGCTGAATGTCTGCCCACATTCACACAGTGCCGTTTACCGGCACCCGTGGGCTGGACCTACAGCAGGACGCACAAGGCAGGACGAGAGGGGGTGTAGCTGGGAGCCGGGGCATGAAACGCCCAAGGAAACATCCGGCAGAATCTTCCTGGGAATCCGTCACTTGGGACCTTTGGTCCTTCTCCCCATGAAATGCTGGCGGGTGCATGCCTGAGGCTGCATTTACTGCTGTCCAAGGCAGATTTGCAGTGGCTTTTAGCAGCAGCAGGACGGGGGCTGGGATGGATGATTGGCAGGCACCGGGGCTGTGTCAATCAGAGAGCACCCGCTATATATTTTGTTTGTTTGTGGATTTGTTTGTGCAAAATTAAGTCGGCTTCGCGGTACCCTACTGATACCAAATTTTGCATAAACAGTCCTGCCGCTTAAATTCTTGACATGCATGACTCCCTCCACCGGAATCTGCTGAGGGAACGGTTTAAATCAGTGTTTTTCCCACGGCGAACTGCAGCCAAGGGGAGCCACCGGGCTCCGGAGCTGATCATTAAACAAACCGGAGCGGCCCGGTAGCAGCTTTTTCAGAGTGGGTCTGCAGACCCCATTGAGCAAGGCTGTTTTAAATAATTATTGGTGCTTTTCTTCACCGTTCATAAGAATATTGGCTCACAAAATTAACACCAAGGCGCCAATTCAACTGTCATTTTAGGGCAAAGAATATTTTTACTGCTACGAATCACAAAAGCATTCTAAGTAGTTACGGACAGAGTAATGGAAGCTTGACGGGTTTCTGATTCAAATGTGCGGTGTTGGGGGGTGAGTCGATAAAACGAGTAATGCTGGAAGTTGAAATCCTGCACATTTAAAACTGTTCTTTTACTGCCTTTTTGCAAGCACGTGAATAAAACATTCGGTGACGTATATTTAATTTCTTGAACTTTCCTATCAGTGTAATCGACACAAAATGACTTTGCCCGGTCAACGACCGGCTTTCCCTGCTAACTAGAAATATTGACTAGTTGGCCAGACCCAGGGCATCATCTTTCTACTAGTCTTTTACTAGTCGTCATCGTCTTTTACTAGTTGTCCAGACAGCGGCACTCGGATGCACTGAACGCCTCATCCATTCTGTCTCTTCGGGGTGAGTCACGCACGTTCCAGGATGGACCCTGAGGGGTGCAGTCCGGAGAGGGCCGAGATGGAGTGAGGAAGGGGGGCTGGAGCAGAGCTTAGCCCCTCTCTTTGTTGCACGTTGCTAGAGGTCGGCTTGGAATGATCATTCTTGTGTGCCAGTTTTGCCTGCCTGCTGTCGGTGGGCATGGTTTGCAGCCCCTGGAGGAGCCGTGCTCGGGCTGCAGTAACAACCTCCGACTGTGCTCGGGAGAGAAAACGCCCTGGATTTAGAAGGGATCGCTCCTGGTTTACTGTGGAGGAAGCGGGAGCAGCATCAGGTGCTGCCCGCCCCGGCACTTCCTTCCCACCCCCGCACATGCTGATTCACTTCAGCCCCGCTGTCCAGAGAGGCCGGCGTGCTCAGTCCCTTATGGGGCGGGAGGGGATTCTTCGCTAGGCTGTGGTTTGCCGACTCATGTCTCTTGTGCAACAGAGCAGCGGCCCTGGTGCAGGGAGCCGTTCGCCGGGCCTGGCTTCGGTGGGGTTTGCTTTCCCGGGGCTTGCTCTGAATCCGGTCCCGGCCTGCGATCGCTGGGGATGTACAGCAGAACCCGAGTGCTTCCCAGAACCCTGGCACGTCACGGCCCGCAGCAGCTGTGGGCGGCCTTGTTTTCTGCTCCTCCGGGCGCCCCAGCCGCAGGTGCGGCAGCGCAGGGAGGGGGAGGGTCCTCCTGCACTTGACCCAGTCAGGAAAATGCCCCTGGCTGGTCGGCGGCAGGTGCTGGTTGAGCTCCTCCCCTGGGCAGAAAGGCAGCAGCACAGGAGTTCGGGGTGCTGCCGCTGCCATGGGGAGCTCTGCTTTCCTGGGGATCACTGTGCCGCACAAGGGGGCCTGCTGGAGGGGGCCGTCGCGGGACTGGCTCTCGGGGCTCGGTGGGGGAGGAGAGTGGTGCAGAGAAGGCACCATGAGCGGGGGCGTGCCGAGGAGCCAGCTCTGGGGATGACGACGGATGGGGCGGCGTAGACAGCCACGAAGCCAAGACATGCCTTGCGCTCGTGAGGTGCTGGTGGGAAAAGTCACTTCCGTGAATTCCTTGCCTGGGTCCCATTGGCTCGATTCTCACCGCCTTAGGCTATCCCGTCCGAAACGTTCAGCCGGTGGCCGTCTGCTCCACGCCTGGGGGAAATTAACCTAACAGGGTATCCTTTGCATTTAGGTCCGGGAGCGTCAGAAACCACTGGACGGAGATCTACTCTTTTGTGGAGAGCCTGGCGGAGAAGTTTATAAGGTAAAGATTTCGCCGGAGGAGCCTTGGGTTATAATTTCTGCCGCGTTTCGCCTGCTGCGCCTAGGCTGAGGCGATCTTGCGGCTGACGCGGGTTTGTTCTGTCTGTTTCAGCCCCATGCTGCGCATGTCCTTCATCGTCTTTTCCTCGCGGGGCACCACGGTCATGAAGCTGACAGAAGACAGGCAAGTCCCTCGCCTCCCTCCGCCTGGCTGAGCCAGGGACCCCTAAGCAGCTGCAAGAGCGCAGGCCCCGGCTAAGGTCCGTGTGTCGCCCGGATCCGCTCCCGCGGCTACTGGAGTCCGTTTCCGCTGGGGGCAGGATCGAAAGCCACGTCCGTCTTTTCCTCGCGGGGCACCACGGTCATGAAGCTGACAGAAGACAGGCAAGTCCCTCGCCTCCCTCCGCCTGGCTGAGCCAGGGACCCCTAAGCAGCTGCAAGAGCGCAGGCCCCGGCTAAGGTCCGTGTGTCGCCCGGATCCGCTCCCGCGGCTACTGGAGTCCGTTTCCGCTGGGGGCAGGATCGAAAGCCACGTCCGGGACGGTCCTTCGGCCTCCCCTTTGCAGCCGTAGGGCCAGAGAGAGCAGGCCAAGGTGCCGCAGGCAGAAGACTCTCTGTGCCGCCTTCTCCTGACGTGGCCCAAAGCACCGAGCGACCCTGGACTGCGGCTGAGGTGCTGCTCGCTCCCGCCGTCTGCTTCCAACGCCGCCCCGCTGCAAAGCCGGCCAAAGGCACTTTCCAAGGAAAAGGGGGACTCTGAGGCTGCAGCAGCCCCCCTCTTTCTGCCTCCTCCTCTCCTGCTTTATATCCCAATTCACCCTCTGTTGATGGCTCTCGGGCTGAACTTTGTCCATTTCTCTCCACCTCTGCTACGTAGTTTCCTCTGGGGCCAACTGCTTTCCTGCACTGGCCACCTCTCCCTGTGTTCGGTGCTGGCGGTGCCGTGTGCCTCAGTCGCCCCAAAGCACCTCGTAAAGGTGGTGGTGGGGACTGGAATGAGACAGCCTCCCTGTTCCTTCCCCTGCGTCTTCTGGGGCCTGGCAACTTTGTCCATTTCTCTCCACCTCTGCTACGTAGTTTCCTCTGGGGCCAACTGCTTTCCTGCACTGGCCACCTCTCCCTGTGTTCGGTGCTGGCGGTGCCGTGTGCCTCAGTCGCCCCAAAGCACCTCGTAAAGGTGGTGGTGGGGACTGGAATGAGACAGCCTCCCTGTTCCTTCCCCTGCGTCTTCTGGGGCCTGGCCCGAAGCCGACAGGAGAGTTTCTGGTGGCTTCGCTGGCTTCGGCTCAGGCCCTCGTGTGTGTCTAAGGGCAGAGCGAGCTGGGGTTCACCTTGCCCAGGTGGCTTTGCCCTTTGCACGGTGAAAGGTTGATGCTAAGCGCGTGGGGATGGTGGAAATCGGCGTTAAAACCTTCCCTGATTGACCCCCCCCCCATGTGCCTTCCTCATGGGACATTGCAGCACATCTTACTCTTAGAAAGGGCAGAACGTGCTGTGCCAAGGGATGTCTCCCCTCAACGCTCCATTGCCCCTCTTCCCCGTTCCTCCTCTGCCCCATTGCCCCACTGTCCCATTGCTCCTTTGCCCCACTGCTCCTCTGCCCCATTCCTCCTCTGCCCCACTGCCCCACTGTCCCATTGCTCCTTTGCCCCACTGCTCCTCTGCCCCATTCCTCCTCTGCCCCACTGCCCCACTGTCCCATTGCTCCTTTGCCCCACTGCTCCTCTGCCCCATTCCTCCTCTGCCCCACTGCCCCACTGTCCCATTGCTCCTTTGCCCCACTGCTCCTCTGCCCCATTCCTCCTCTGCCCCACTGCCCCACTGTCCCATTGCTCCTTTGCCCCACTGCTCCTCTGCCCCATTCCTCCTCTGCCCCATTGCCCCACTGTCCCATTGCTCCTCTGCCCCACTGCTCCTCTGCCCCACTGCTCCTCTGCCCCTCTGTCCCACAGCAACTCACGCTCCTCGTTTGCAACTGCACCACCCAAGCATCTGTATGGGGAGAGGTTGGGAGAATGTCCCCTGGGTGGTTGCAAATGTTTCCCTGCAGGTTGGATAGACATCTGTCAGGGATGGTGTAGACGGAGCTTGGTCCTGCCTTGAGGGTGGGGGGCTGGACTCGATGACCTCTCGAGGTCCCTTCCAGTCCTATGATTCTATGATTCTATGAGTAGCTGAGGCTATGTCCACACGGGGAAGGTTGGGCAACCGAAGTGCTGTCGACACTCAGAAGTCGCCAAACGTGAAACTAGCTCAAAGTGGTTTTGCTGCCTCCCATTGTCAACATTTCCTGGCCAGATTGCTAGCTCCCCTGTTGATAGAGCAAAGCATTGTGGGGAAGCATCCCATGGGGCAGTGTGGTGGGAAGACAGAGTTGATCCCTGCGCTTCTCGGGATTCCCTCGTTGCTCTGGGAACACTCAGGAGTATCAAAGCAGCACAGCCGTCTCCAGCACTCCCCCTGCAGCAACAGTCTGCCTGCTGCTGTGTTCCTAGCAGAGCAGAACAGGAGCACTCCAATGATTTGCTCTTTGTTTGTTCCCCAAAGGGAGCAGCTCATTCCAAATTCTTCCTGGAGCTTTGAAACGGGAGGGGCACAGACCTGCAGAGCAGCAGAGATCACCACACACTGAGCAGATCCATCCGGGCAGGCATTGTGGGATATTGGCAGAAGCCAGTTCTTTCAACCAAACAAATAGCGGAGTCCACACTGGCTCTTTGTTGACAATGAAGGGAGAGGAAAAGTCAAAGTCTTTCGTGGGGGTGGACATTTTTTGTCGCCAAAACTGGGTGGTTTTCCCAACAAAAGTCGCATTACAGTGTAAACACGCTCCCGGTTTTGTCACCAAAAGGCAGGTTTTGACCACAAAACCTGCCAGCGTAGGTGAGCCCTGAGGCTGACTTCTTGGCTTCCTACATCCTTCCTTTTGGGTCTGTGTTCCACATGGCTGTTTTAGTGGCCTCAAATCAGGATCAGGGTCCCTCTTGCGCTAGGTGCTGTACATACCTAAGAACTGTTATTCTGATTCCCTTGTGGCGAGTGCACCTTCCATGAGCAGTCCTATCAACACTGAATGAGCCATTCATGGAATAAGATGCTATTCGGGATGAGTGATCGTATCAGAGTCTGTCCCATACTGAGGCCCGGTCTGTGCCCAAGGATTTTATCAGGCAAGAGGGTTGATCACTTTTCATTGGGCCACATTAGGAGGTCCACGGTATTCGGACCCTATTTCTGTACACTTTGGCCTCTCCTCGTAATTTTAAATCAGGCCTTAACTCAAGATCTCAACAGCTCTCAGAGCTGGTCCCAATCACAAATTTTGCTTTGAACTGGATCATGGCAGGGGCCCTCAGATTAAAGATTTGGGACATTTGCCAGAATTGAGATCTGTGATTTTTTTTTTTTAATTTGGCCTGTTCCCCCATTCCAGTATACCCACACTGCGACTGCAAAACAGGATCCTTACGCTGCATCTACCGTGGCGTTCCGTCTTGGGCCCATGTCTGTCCGCCACTGAGCGCAGGGCAGGTTTCAGAAGGTTGGATCAGGGTGTGCTTCTAAGGATGCTGGTTGTTCCCGACTCTTTGGTGCACGTGTCGAGTGGGGAGGGGGCGGTTCATTGTTCTGTTCTGCTCTCAGGGGTTTCAGGAACGTCTCAATGCAGAAAAACGAGATTTTTTTTTAATTCTTCTCGTTTCAAGGGAGGCCATAAGACGGGGACTTGAGATTCTTCAGTATGAAGTGCCTGGAGGAGATACATTCATGCATGAAGGATTTAAAAGGGTACGCGCCGTGGAACCTTCTCGCTTGGATTTATACACTTGTTAACTTCTGCTTCTATGGCCCCTGCTGCACCTACGCAGAGCTAATAACGTTTTGCATTTTGTTGCAGGCAAATGAGCAGATTTACCATGAGAACTATGGAGGTAGGATCGTTTTCCACAGCTCTGATTTATTTTCATTGAGAAGCTGGGGGGGGTGGGGGTGGGGTTGTCGGCATGACTTGTGATTAACTCATGGGGGCGGTGCTAGCGTGACCCTGCCTTCCCAATGCGTTTTGATTAAAGCCCGGCTTTCGAATTCATACATTCTCAAGGCGGAAGGTGCCGCTTGGGTTCTTCTAGTTTTGATCCCCAGCCTAACGAATCGAACCCAGCTCTTCGTGCTGGGAGCAATTCATCAGCCGCAGTCTAGAAGTACGGGGCTTTGTGTGGAGCGTTCCGTTTGGAACCCACGCCTGTCTGCCGGAGTCACCCGAGACGCTCCTTTGATCTTCACCATCGCTGTGTGTGCGATCTGACTCCCGCTGCAGTCAGGTGGAGATGCCCCATTGATTTCAGCGGGTTTGGGACCAGGCTCTCTGTCCGTCAGGTTGCCTAAAGTGGCGGTGCGGGGTTTACATCAGTATAGCAAGGTAGCCTAAGATTTAAAGAATGTATTTTTCTTGCATTTTACTTTCCATATTTGAGAGATGCCAGAGTTTTTCTTCCCGGTGTGGCTGGAGGTCTCCTGGGTGGTCACAGGTCCTTGCTCGGTCCCTAACTGAATTAGTGTTGGTTTTTGACCAAAAGTGCCTTTCTCCCAAGTGTTTCTTTGTTGTTTGAGTTAAGTAAGTGTTTAGAAAAATAGAGTTCGGGAGCTCTTGTGTAACCCACACACCTAGGCTACGTCTATACTGTAGCCTTCTTGTGGAAAAGTATAAGCCAATGAAGTGTGGCGTGGAATATCGCCACGCTTCGTTTGCATAAATAATGAGCAGCCGTTTTTGTGCAAGAGGCTTTTTTGAGGAAGAATGGCTCTTGCGCAAAAAGAGCCGTCTACGCTGCTCATTTTTGCGCATTACTTATGCAAATGAAGCGCAGCGTTTGCCGCAAGAAGGCTACAGTATAGACATAGCTCTAGTGTGGGTCGCTGTCCCATGTAGTGGCACTTAGATCACTTACAGTGAGAAATAAGAGCAAGGGAACTCTACAGGCTGCTACACTAAGCTCCAAAGGTCCCAGGTTCAAATCTGCCTGGTGGTGGTTACACTTGCATTAAAAATGGCCTCCTCTGATGTTCACTGACCCTACTTCTGTTCTAGTTTTCAAGGCAGGGAGGAAGGAGACATGATTGCTAAAATGAAGTACCTAGACAAGAAAAATGTATGACATAAAATAGCAACAATGATCTTTCCAGCCATCTTCTAATATTAAAAAATCGAGCAGCCCAGACCTATTTTTTCCCCAGCTGCAGGTCACCTTTAAGACTTCGTGTTTGTGCCTCTGACATGACATGGGAAGCACTGCACAGCATAAGAAACCTGTCAGAACTCATCAGTCTCTTTCGTTTCCGGTCATGCTGGAAAGGCATTTGGAAGGGAAAGAAACGGTTCTAAAAAACAACCCCTCTTGTCTCCCCCCCTTGCACAAATCCTGCTCACGATACTCACCCGAGTAGCCCTCTGATTGGCAGGAGGAGGCATAAGGATGGCAGGATTCATTCTCTCGGGGGATCTCCCCAGCTTGCTTTGTTGTGGCACAGGAATTGGACCTCCCCACCTCCCCGCTGAACAGTGTTCCCTCTAAGTTTTTCCATCCATGTGCAGAATAAATTTTGTGTGCACCAAGGCAGGTGCGGATGTGCACCACCAGCAGAAACACAGGGTGCTGGCTCTGGGCGCTGTGGGTGCTCTGCTAATCAGCTGGGCGGCATTTGAATCTCTCCTGGGCGCCCGCACAAGCGCTCAACTTCCAGGGAACACTGCCCCCGAATCACAGATCCCTGCTGCCTTTCGCCGCCTTGGCCACACTCTGAAAGTTCCTCCTCCCTTTGGCATCACCCCACCCCGGGCAAGAAAAAGGGGTGACCTGAGCTGGAGTCTCTCTCTCACTGATTTCCCTGATGCTATGTGGGTGATGAAGATGGCCAGGATTTGGTTCCTAACACACTGTTCTGGGTCAGGTCGTTAGCCAACATAGATGGGCACAGCCACAGCGGCCACTCGACCCCCACTCTGCCCCAGAGCCCTGTATTCCTCCGGCAGCGGAGAAGGAAGCGTTGCCTGACTGTATTCACCCATCAGCAAAGCTTCGCCGCCCCCCTGCCTAACCCCAGCCATGTTCACTCTGCAGGCCTCCGGACCGCGAGTGTGATCATCGCGCTGACGGACGGGGAGCTGCAAGAGGTTCAGTTTTATTACGCAGAAAAAGAAGTAAGTCCGCCTCGCGTTTCCAGGTGTGTAAACAGGTGTGTTGTGAGCAAGACACGAGGAGTCATTCTGCCGCTCTACTCTGCGCTGGTTAGGCCTCCGTTAGAGTGTTGTGTCCAGTTCTGGGCACCGCATTTCAGGAAAGATGTAGAGAAATTGGAGAGGGTCCAGAGAAGAGCAACAAGAATGATTAAAGGTCTAGAGAACGTGACCTATGGAGGAAGGCTAAAAGAATTGGGTTTGTGTAATTTAGAAAAGAGAAGATTGAGGGGGACATGATAGCGGTTTTCAGGGATCTAACAGAGTGTCACAAGGAGGAGGGAGAAAACTTGTTCATCTTGGCCTCTGAGGATAGAACAAGAAGCAATGGGCTTAAACTGCAGCAAGGGAGGGTTAGTTTGGACATTAGGAAAAACTTCCTGCCTGTCAGGGTGGTCAAACACTGGAATAAATTGTACAGGGAGGTTGTGGAATCCCCATCTCTGGAGATATTTAAGAGCAGGTTAGATAAATGTCTATCAGGGATGGTCTAGACAGTATTTGGTCCTGCCATGAGGGCAGGGGACTGGACTCGACCTCTCGAGGTCCCTTCCAGTCCTAGTATTTTATGATTCTATGATATTCAGGTAGCTAAGGGTCTACATGGCCGTTAGATGCCCAGGTCTGGTCCCTGCCCGCTGCCCCCTGAACGCTGGCACCCTCGCACCTTTCAGGGTCTGCCTCGTACCTGAACGTCCAGATCACAATTAAACAGCCCTGAGCCTGAGTCTGCTGGCATGAGCCAGTCGCGGGCTTTTATTGGCAGTGTTGGCGTGTCCTAAGTGGTTTGTGTCAAACAAGAGAGCATCTGCTCGAGGGATGTAAAATCCCATTTCATTAGGTAACTGGTTCAACTTTGTGTTTAACCGGTTAACCCATTAAACGGGTGGGTGCCCTCCCGCTGTGGTTGGGGGCTGATCCAGCTGGTCTGGAACACCCCGGCCCACGGCATACTGAGCTGGACCCTCAGGTTAATTGTAACCAGTAAGCCACACCCGTTAAGAGTGAGTCTTACCGGTTAACCGTTCACATCCCTAACCTGCTCTCGGTTCCAGTTTACCTGGCTTGGCCCGTAACGGTGTCTTTCCTGCAGGCCGACAGAGCCAGGAGCCTTGGCGCGATTGTGTACTGCGTTGGGGTGAAAGACTTTAATGAAACTCAGGTAATTTGGGGGCTTTTTTAAAACAAAATTTCTCCCCACCTACTACCAGCATTGGTTGAGCACAGCATCCTGACCTCAAAATAAGCTACGCCATCTGCGTGGCGCAAATTGCCTCGCTTATTTCCATGATATTTCAAAAAAGCTCATTTTGGCAAATTTTGAAATAAGGCGCTATTCCGAAACGCCCCTTATTTTACAGGGACATCAGAATAGTGAGCCAGTTATATTTCAATATAACGGGCTTGCTCTTAAGACGTGGAATAGCTATTTTGGGATACCGGAGGTTTCCCGAAATAGCTCCTCTGTGTAGACATAGCCTTACTTAATTACTCGACCCTTGCCTGGCCCCGCTGTGCCTGGCAGGCCCAGTTTCCTATGCTGCCGTTTGTCGGCCCTGCGCATTAACGATGGTCTGTCGTTGCAGCTGTCGACAATTGCGGACAGCATTGATCACGTTTTCCCGGTGACAGGCGGCTTTTATGCCCTGAGAGGCACCATTGATTCGGTGAGTGGGGCGTTCGGAAAGCGAGAGAAAGGAACCTTTTCCCGCGCTCTGAAAGAGGCCAAATGACCCCGGTGATCCAAAACCCCATTCTCTTCCTCTCTCAGATTCTGAAGAAATCCTGCATTGAGATCCTGGCAGCTGAGCCGTCGAGCGTCTGTGCAGGAGGTGAGCTGACCCTGAACTCGGAGGCAGTGGAATTACAAAAATGCCTCACTGCTCCCTACAAAAGTGTCCAATCCAAAGTCCTGGGATGTCAATGGAAGGTCTCCCCTTGACGTTTACAGAAGCCCACGCGCAGCTTCAAGAAGGAAGCCACAAAGGCAGGCTCCGCTGTTTAGAAGCTGCCGAAGGGCCCTGAAAGGAGTGAGAGTTGGGGTTCTAGTTTCAAAAGGGCCCAAGTGACTTAGGAACCTAAATCTCATTTTCAAAAATGACTCTTGGCCCCATTTTCAAAGTTGTCCAGCAATGCGGAGAGGCACCGAGTGCAGATCCTCGCAGGGTTCTCGGCTCTTTCCTCCCACTGGCATCCCGCTTGGCAGGTGATTTTGAAAGCCCCGCGAGATGCCTGTTTGCATCTTTTGGCATCTGCCTGAGAATCTGGCCCTGAGGAGCTGGAGTCTAACAGACAGGCAGTGGAATTCAGGCGTCCGGGTGGTGCAGCCCCTTTTTAAAATGGGACCGAGCCTCTTCTATGGCCAAGCCAACTTTGGAAATATCACATTTGCCTAGCATGTGGAAGATCCCTGGTTCACAACCAGGCGGAAACAAGGCTGCCTTGCCTTCCTTTAAGGCCCATTTATCGTGGGCTGGCTAGCTCAGCTAGTTAGAGCTTGGTGCTTGTAACACTAAGGTGGTAGGTTCAGGGTCCCTGCTGGGCAGTTGATGCTTACGGGGTGGTGGATTGTCGTTCTTTAGCTGACTGCGATGGGCCAGGAGAGCAGAAAAGGAAACAGACTGAGTGGCTTGCGAGGAACAGGCAAGAGTTACGGGGGGAGGGGGGGGATTGTTCTCTGTGGCTTGTAGTGATAGGACAAGGAGCAATGGGCTTAAACTGCAGCAAGGGAGGTTTAGGTTGGACATTAGGAAAAACTTCCTACCCGTCAGGATGGTGAAACACTGGAATAAATTGTCTAGGGGGGTTGTGGAATCTCCATCCCTGGGGATATTGAAGAGCAGGTTGGACAGACATCGATCAGGGATGCTCTAGACGGTGCTTGGTCCTGCTGTGCGGGCAGGGGACTGGACTAGATGCCTTCCTGAGGTCCCTTCCAGTCCCATGATTCTAGGGTTACCGAGTTAGGATCTGCTCTTACAACCCTCGTATGCATACGCAGTCTTCACCCATGCGACCCATCCTACCGACTGCGCATGGTGGGCGAAGGCCTAGCTTAGGAGGCCAGCCCCAGCCCCTCCCCTTCCAGAGAAATAACAGAATCCGAGAGAGAGCAGAAGTACCTGTCCATGAGGACCCGTGTTAATGAGGCTAAGAGGGCTGTATGTCTCTCAAACATAGCTTTTAATGAGGAAATGCAGATGTTAAAGGCAGGAGAAACTGTCTTATACTCTGTCCGACGGGCTGCGTATTTTCAGAACAAAAGACCCACTTGCTCTACCCATAGATGACAGCCAATGTCAGAATTTTCAGGAATTATTTGAGCGCGTGGCTCCCGTAGAAACCACAGGCAGTCCAAGCACGGATTCCGTAAAACACTCCCAGATGTTTCAGGAGAGGCGATCAGAGCGGTCCTGAAACAGAAATAACGAACAGCATAGCCCAAGACACCTGCCGGTTTGTAAAGTGTGAGCATTTTGCATATTCATAATGAAAGAACTGCTCCCATGTTGGGTACATGCAAAGTATCCCCAGGGGAACGTCCACTAATGACATGCCTTTCGTGTTTAGTAAATTGAACAGGGAATTCTTCTGGTTTGTGTGAACCATTTGTTTGCTGTGGGTTTTATTTGTTGAGAAGCCTAATGCAGCGAAATAATAATGACACCATAAGCTTGCTGTAAGATATAATTTACGGCATGGCTAATTAATGCTTAGGCTACTGTCTTGCATTAGTTTGCTTATATGTTCTAAAAAGAAGCACGTTTAAAATAGCAGTGGTGCATGAAAGCTGACCCTGAGCATTCCAGACAGAAGATGAAATTTAAGGAAAATCTAGTAAATATTGCAGAGAAGAGAAATCTTGGTTTAGGCTTCATTTCTACACGGCAGTTGCTGGAGGGTACATGTTTCATTTTCAAACATCCTCAGTTGGTTCTGCCATTCTTTCCAAAGGAGCAAAGGCGGAGAAGATAGTTGCCATGAGACATTCTCCACGAATTATTAAAACTGGAAGCTTCCCGTTAAAAAAGGGAGGGCGAGTCAAAGAACAGTAAAACCACGTGGTAAAAAATCAGACCATTGCAAAACTCTTCAGTTCGTTGAAGTGGACCCCTATGTTGTTTTATTTATTTTGCAAACGTTTTCCATGTGTACGTGTATGGAAATTGGTTACCAGATTTGTTTGTTTGCAGAAAAGCTGGATTTCAGTAGCATGTTTTTATGCATTTTGATAAAACACTCTGTAAGTTTCATGAAAAATGAAAGATTTTGCCAAGTTGATCATTTTTCTTGAACAAGCTCATTTTTTTAAAAAAGTCCATATTTCAAGAACAATTTCTCCCCCTTCTCCTTCCTGGTTTATTTGTGCTACAGCTTTCCCCTTTTTGCTGACAGAAATAAATTAAAAGCTTAACTGAAATGTGCATGGGACTTTAGAGAGCAGCAAAATGTTTGATTGGAGCCCAAATGATTTTTTTTTTTTCAACTTTTTGATTTGCTGAACATTTTGAAAAAAATTATTTTTGGATCAACTCAAAACATTTAAAAAAATGAAGCAAAAATCAGTTATTCGCGCAGAGCTGGAGGATTGTTTCACAGAAGAGGAGGTCATGGTGTGAGTTCTGTATCAAGAATCAAGTAGAATCAAGTAGATGTTCTCCAAAAACCTTAATAAAATGGCACATTCTTACCTGACTTAATATTCCTGGACAATAATATGCATTTATTATTCAGCTTCAACGCAGTACAAGTTATACGTTTTATTACTTCATTAACATCTAACTCCTGTATGTACACACAGAAAGCACAGTCAAGATTTTGTCAGAGATATATACATATACATTCCGATCTCTAGATCCTTTGGAAGTTTCCTTAAATCAACAGTGAAGTTTGTTTGCTCTCCCCTCCGAAATATGCACTTCTTGGTGCCAGCCAGACATTTTGAATGAAATTCACCAAAGTGAGGGGCGTAGTGGTTAATTTAATTATTCTTACTGGCCATTTTAATCTTCTCTAATGCCAGATTCTGTGTTAGTCCATGGGACTTTGCTGGACTAGGGACTATAGCTGGTTTTGGGCTGTTCCTTATGAATCAGAATTACTATTATATGTGTATTGACTAGTTAGCAATGATCACAGCTTTGCTTTCGAGTGGCTTCATATATTGCGGAGGAAATGGCTTCTGCATGGCACTAGCTGAATTCTGACTCGTTCCAGTCTGGGCGTTGTGTGTCTGAGCTCGAGCTAGCTGGTCCAGCCGCTTGCAAATTGATCTAGCCGGGTTATGACAGCTCTCTGAGGCTTAATGCTTCTTGACCCTGCAAATGTATAGTCCCTTATGCGGGGGAACGTGCCCAGGTCTTTCTGTTCCCTCTGATTGAAAGTGACCAAGACATGCCGCCTGGAAACAGGCGATCAGCGGGGACTGGAAGGTGCCGGGTCGGCCATTTGACAGCATCATTGCTTTGATTATGCTCACGGGACGCAGATGTGATTGAAAGGTTTTGCTGGATGTGGCACCCGACGGGCCGCGTCAACGGCCAGGTGTGGATGCAAGCCGTCAGCTCCTCATCAGAGTCAGAGAAGCGAAGCCGACAGCCCAGCCAGCGCGCACCAGCTTCAACCCACCCTCTCGCTGCCAGCGCTGCCCAGTGATTTCGCTGCTGACCTTTTTCCCTGCGCCGTCTTGTCAAAAGCTACAAGCTAGAATCTGACAGTAACTCAGAAAGAAAAGGACGCAGCCTGAGCCAAGGCCCCAAATTAAATAGAATTAGCCATTTCAACAGGCCATCACCCGGAATGCATTAATGCTCCGTAGCATCTGACGGGGAGACTGTTCAATAGCGACAACCCAACCCAGCCTCGACGGTTTACGTTTCCATGCAGGGCTGTTGTTGAAGCTATATTGTCCCCTTGTGCTCGTGGACAGATTATTCTAGGGGAGCTGGACGGCTTTGGCAAGTGTCCGTACCACAAGTGCAGGGGCAGGACGGATAAACCGTCTTGATTCAATGCCCAGATGTGGCTGTCCCTGGGAACCTTTTGCACGTGGAGTCCTCTGTGTTCTTAGGGTTGGCGTTTTGGTTTGGAAACCTCTCCTGTGGTCAGCGATTGCACCTCCGTGTATGTAAGGGGCGGGGTGTGAGAGCCCGCTGTTTCAGAAAAGCAAAGGGCCGTTGCGTTTTAAGGTCGGGAGGGAAAAAGTAAAAAAACAAACCCAAAAGCATCGGCGGTGAGATCGGCTTGGAGTTAGCTGGGGAAGCAATGTCAGAGAGTAAGATTCAGTCTGCAAGCTGCCACTAGAGAGTCTCGTGAGGAGAGAATGTCACCCACCTTCCCGGTCTAGGACAGACGTCGTTGTCAGTTGTGTTGGGGTCCAGGAGGTCTGATTCTGAACCGAGGGGGTGTTTTCCCCACTGACGCTGGTTGCGTTTCCCTCTGCTCAGACCCGGAAGCTGTCCTGGTCAGTTTCGTATCCTGGTGTGCGTGCCGGAGCAACCATGCTACCCTGCAGGGGAATGTCCAAGTGCACCCCACTTCAGGTAGCGTAGAGGCAAAGTCAGGGATGAGCCCCGGAAGGAGCTGTGGGACCCACAATTGCGGGGGGGCGCCGACTGCCCCGGGGCAGCGCTGTGATTGGACGCCGAGTTGCACACGGCTCTCACGGTCACGGTTGTGTGCAGTCAGCGCGTGCCTCACCGCACGTGCCCTGGTTTTACAGGCCTGCCGTACCGGTAAGCAAAACCCGACACAGACGGAAACCAGCGGAATCGTGGGCAGCAGTAAAAGGGTCTCGTGGGCCGTACCTAGAACCCCACCGGGTGCCCACCGCTGCACAAGAGCACGGTTTTTAGAAAGAAACTTCCCATCTCCACGTCCCCTAGCCAAGGTGGCAGAGAGCCAGCTGCGTGCGAGGAGAGCGCTCGTGGGCGGGAGAGGAAAGACCCACAGCTGCATCGCGTCAAGGCTGCATAGTGGGCAGCCAGACCTAGTGGTCAGAGCCAGAGCTCCCCGTCAGCCACTGCGAATCAACCGGGTCAGGATACCAGGGCTGAGAGACAGGAGACAACGCAGAGATCAGACTCAGAGGGCAGTGGGCAGGAGCCAAGCCAGGGGAGCAGAAGCGGAAGGCGCAGGGTGGGCAGTCCAGTGCAGGGTGAATCCCGGTCGTTCACACAGCTTCCTCTTACTGGCTTAAGTGGCGCTGGCAGGCCAGTCGGCTGCTCTGGGACTCGGCTAACCCGGCGCCAGCAGGAGAGCTTTTGTCTAGGGCTGGGCTCCATGTGTCTTGGACCGTCAGCTTCTTCGGGTGTGTCTCATCCAGGGTCACACGTGCACTGGCCCTGACTCTCCTGTGCATAAAGGCCATTTCACACCACTCCGGCAGCGCTCCGCAGCGTAACTGCAGCTCGTTCTCTGGGGGGGCTTAGTTAATAAGGAGCTAAATGCAGTGCCTTTAGGATGACAATATTACGGGCCAGCGTCCCGAGCTGGGGATCTGGGCCTGTTTGGATTGACAGGTTATTTTGCTGTTGAAATATTGGGGAGGCACAATCCCTGTGGACATGGACAAAACATGTGCAGGGGTGAGAATGTTGCAAGCAAATATCCCTTGGAGGGCTAAAAAAATCTCCCCCACTCTGTTACAGCAGTGGTCTTTAAGTCTCTGGTCTGCACTAGCGACCCTGGCAGGGTTTGGGGTTCTTACCGCAGGAAAGCGTAGCTATTTATAAGAGCCGGGGCAGAGTTAAAGAGCAAAAAGAGCTGCTGTCACGTCACACTTCAGACCAGGGATTAGAATGAAAGGCCATGATGGGGAGGGGTGGGGAAAAGGTCGGCCGTTTCTCGACGTTCGTTCTTACTTCCCCTTGCAGAAGCCTTTCAGGTTGTGGTGAGAGGCAACGGCTTTTATCACGCGAGAAACATCGATCAAGTTCTCTGCAGCTTCAAGATTAATGACACCATCACGATCAGTAAGTTGACGGGGGGGATATTGGGCCTGTAAATTACGCACAGGCCTGGCCTAGTTCCTCTTGGCATCGAGGCAAGTCTTTGCTTTGACTTTGGGGGGCTTTCATTAGGACCCCAGTCCCGCACTGAGGGTGAAATTCATCCCACGTCATCCCAACGCCTGGGGGTCACTGAGGGTCCAGGGTTCATGCTGAATCTCTGCCTGGGGTGACTTTCATCCTTGCTGCACCGGAGGTGGTTTCATTTGCTCAGCTCCGGCCTGTGAGACGGGAAATGACCCTCCATTATAACCGTTGCTGTCCTGACCCTGGGATGCTGCGCTCCAAGACGTGCCCGCACGGGGGTGCTTGGAATGGTCACTAGGATAGAAACTAGAGGATGTGATTGGAGAGGGACGGCTAGAGGGACGAGGCGCATGTTGGAGAGACGCGGAGGGCGAGGTCGCCTCTGTGTGTGCCCCAATCTCTGTTGGCGAGAGACACAATCCAGGGGTTGCACAGTCAAAGATGTGACCTTCCCATACCCTGTCCCCCAGGGGGGCAACCAAACTCCAACAGCGCGGCATGCAAAGGGCCCAAGCCTCAGCCAGCCATCAAGGGGTCCCGTCCTGAGGGTGCCGTGGGCGATAGCGCCATGGCGACATGGAATGACAAGGAAGGCAGGCCCTGCTGTGAACTAGGCCCACGCTGGGCCGGATCCTGCACCTGCAGCTCTCATTGATGTCAACAGCACCCCTCCGGGTGGGAGACGCCGCCCTTCCTGTACGTGACCCTCTGTCTCGTTTCCTTCCAGACGAAAAGCCGACCATTGTCCAAGACACCTACTTGCTGTGCCCTGCGCCGGTCATAGACGACGTTGGACAGTAAGTGCAGCTCTGCGAGGGCTGAAGGAGAGCGGGCGTTGGCCGGGGGATCAGTGGGAGATTTAAGCCGTCAGAAAAGCAAACAGAATGCTGGGCATCATTAAAAAAGAGATAGAGACTAAGACAGAGAATATCGTATTGCCTCTCTGCAAATCTATAGGACGCCCGCATCTTCAATACTGCATGCAGAGGTGGCCGCCTCTTCTCAAAAAGATCTATTGGCCTTGGGCAAGGTTCCGGAAAGGGCAACAAAAATGATGAGGGGTTTGGAACGGGTCCCATCTGAAGAGAGATTGAAAGGACTTGGGCTTTTCAGCTTAGAAAAGAGGTGGCTAAGGGGGGATATGGTAGAGGTCTATAAAATCACGACAGGAATGCAGAAAGTGAACAAGGCAAAGTTATGTACTTGTTCTCATAACATAACTAGGAGTTGCCACATGAAATGAACAGGCAGACGGTTTAGAACCAACCAAAGGAAGTTTTTCTTCCGGCAGCGCATGGTCAACCTGTGGAACTCCTTGCCAGAGGGTGTTATGAAGACCAGGATTTTAACAGGGTTCAAAAAAAGGACTAGATACTTTCATGGAGATAGGTCCATCAATGGCTATTAGCCTCTGTTAGTCAGGGGCTGGGAATGGGTGACAGGGGATGATTCCCTGGTCTTTTCACTCCCTCTGGGGAAACCTGACATTGGCCACTGTCAGCAGACAGGACGCTGGGCTAGATGGACCTTTGGTCTGACCCAGTCTGGCCGTTCTGTGCTGGGGGGACAGGATTCAGGTGCTTGACCCTGTGATGTGTCACCTAATCACATGGGCAGAGCATTGCATCTGGGTCCGCTGGTAACATTCTGTGTCCTCGGAGCCCAACCACGCTGCAGTGAACCCCCCGTCTCAGCTCCGTCTGACAGGCGTGGGCCCCCGCAGCCAACAGTTATCAAATTTGGAGCCAAGCCCCAGAGGGCGCTGATAGGTTTGCCAAAGTGGGCGGATTTTCATGGTTCCCATGGTACCTGGTGTAATCTGCGGTTGCAGGGTCAAACCAGGTAATACTTGGGAGCTTTCTGCTCTCAGATTACACCGTCCGACCAGCCAACCCCAGGAGAAGCGGAAGGAGAGGTCTGCGCAGGCCCCTGCACCTCTGAGATCTTTTGCACAGCTTTGCATGCCCAAGATTCGATTCCCATCTCGACGTGTAGTGCCACGAACCCTGCCTGCATTGCATGGTGGAGAACGCAGCCAGGGCAGAGTCAGAGGGCTGGCTATGTTGGTGCTGGGATTGAATTTCAAGCCAATTTGAAAAGTCTGCCCCGAAGAGAGGCGGGGGGGGTTGCACGTGGCTTTATTTCTGTATCAAGTTTCGTGCTTTTGGATCCACTCTGCTCCCTCCAACGATGCAGTTTGTTTTATTACCCAGCTCCCCATTAAAGTTGGGTTGATTTGTGCTCTGTCTTACCCCCCTGCAGCCCCATGGGTGCTCAGGTCCGGCTAGGGAAGTATTTACGTGGCTGGGTGGGGTTTAAGCCCGGCAGAACTAGATTTCTAGGGACAGGTGCTACTCTGGTGTGTGTCAAAAACAAAGTGTGCGAGCGGAGAACACGCCCTCGGACCAGACTGTGTGTTCAGCCCCCCGGGTGTGAATCCAGGGAATGTCCGTGGCGTTGTTCGGGTGTATCCCTGTGAAACAGAGCGCCCAGCGCGACCCCACGCTGTACTTACTGCAACTTACACCGGTAGCTTCCTGGTCTAGCACAGATCGTCTTGCAAATGTCTGAGCTGTAGCATCCGCAGCCACTGAAGTAGAGCCCTGGGCCCCCCGAGGACAGTGGAGTCTCTTACTAGAGAACATATGCCCCCGCTCAGGTTAACCCGCATAAAGACGGTGACTTTGGGGCAAGCAAACTGCCAGATGCAGGTGAGGCCCTGCAGCCGTCGAGCCGGGCAGGACGTGAGTGCGGGAGCTAATGGCCCGGAAGAAGGGGAGCAGTGGGTATAAAGATGACACTAAAAGGAAATGCATCTGTTTGTGCTTTAGGGTGGTTTTCCTCCAAGTCAGCATGAACAGCGGGCTGACGTTCATCTCCAGCTCGGTCAGCATCACCAGCACGCAGTGTGTAAGTATGTGGAGGAGCCACTGGCCGCAGCTTGGAACGCCAGGGCTGCTCTCCGGGAAGGGCTGGCCGAGCGCGGCACGTCAGTGATTGCAGCCCATGCACGGATCACGACCGATTTACGTGATAAGGGAGACCAGGATCATATTGGTGGCCCACCGCTGTTCATCATCCATCCCCCTGCCCAGTTCCCAGTCTCTAGGTGTTGGCAGCTGGAACGGGCCAGGGGTGGCCTTCCAGGCCTGCATGGGAGGGATCGTAAAGGGACAGAAGCCCAACATGACGAGATGGGCTTTCCCTTGACGGGCACTTCTGTCATGCACCCCAGGGAGAGATTTCTGGGAGAGGGTATGACAGCGATCCTGCACCGTCTGCAGCAAGAACAGATTCTACCAGCCAGTAGAATTGAGGGTTTATTGCTTCTCCAGGATACAGCACAGCACAGACGTGATATTGGTACAGGAGTCTGGGCCAGGACACCTCAGATCGCCTGGGTTAGGGGGTCCATCGCCCCCCTAGACCTCCAGCCCCCAGTTTCGGCTCACTCCCTCCTGTTTCCCAGCCAGCAAAGGACCCTTCCCCCGAAGCCTCCTGTTGCTCTCCACCTCTCTCCCTTTGTCTCTCCCCCCTGGGAATCCCCTGTTGTCTCCTCGGATGAGCCTAGGTGTCTGGGTTAATACACATGTGGGTGAGTCAGAGGGAATCACACATCCCAGCGCAGGGGGACCCGGGTTACAGAGCAGACAGCCCCCCGCTACGCCACAGAGGGCGAGAGATCCAAGGCTTCTCCGCGGCTGACGTCAGCCTGGGCTCTGTGCATAATGGGGGAGCTGGACAGGAGTCACCAGCCCCAGGTGACCTCTTAGGGAGGATGAATTTTAGAAGTCCTCGCGTAATCCAAGCTAAGCTGTCCCCCAAGGTGCTGAGTGAGCTGAGCGCTGCACCTCGGGAGGCAGAGCAGGCTGCATGCCCAGCTGGTATAAATCCGCAGAGCCAGTGGCGCTGCATCGGTTTACACCTGGGTTGTGTCTAGACTGGCAAGTTTTTCTGCAAAAGCACCTGCTTTTGCGGAAAAACTTGCCAGCTGTCTACACTGGCCGCTTGAATTTCCACAAGAGCACTGACGATCTCGTGTAAGAAATCAGTGCTTCTTGTGGAAATACTATGCTGCTCCCGTTCGGGCAAAAGTCCCTTTTGCGCAAAAGGGCCAGTGTAGACAGCTCAGATTTGTTTTGCGCAAAAAAGCCCCGATGGCGAAAATGGCGATCGGGGCTTTTTTGCGCAAAAGCGCGTCTAGATTGGCACGGACGCTTTTCCACAAAAAGTGCTTTTGCGGAAAAGCGCCCGTGCCAATCTAGACGCTCTTTTCCGCAAATGCGTTTAACGGAAAACTTTTCAGTTAAAAGCATTTGCGGAAAATCATGCCGGTCTCGACGTAGCCCAGGAGGGGATCTGGCCCAGGAGTCGAAGCGACAGGATGACTGGAGGGTTGGTAGCGGTACTGCCTGACGGCTATCGGAGCAGGTGGATGTCTGCGCTCTTGTGGTTAAGCGGAGATTCCTGCACCAGGCCCCTCTGGAGGCCATGGATAGAACAGGGGCGAAAATCCCCAAGGCGAAGGCGTCTGAATTTTTCAGCAAGCCAGCTGGGAAAATCACTGTGTTTAGTCGCTTGGAACAAAGCCGGGATATTTTTGCCGTTTCACCTAGTCCCTCGGCTCCCTCCAAAGGTTGTGAGAATTGCAACGAGGTGGGGATTTTACACCCAGTCAGCCTGAGTTTTACACCCGTGGCCTCTTCAAAACCTTCCTGGGGCTGCCGCCGCAACACCCTTTGCAGTGACAGGCCCAGCGCCGAGTCGGGGACAGAGAGTGGCTTGGAACTCACTGTGCATTCAGGTCCCGGGGCTGCCTGCGCGTCTAATGACCCTGCAGATCAGCTCACCCAGGCTGCCTTGCCGTCCCCCGGGGGCAAGCCGATCCCCGCTGTCTCCGCGGCTGTCAGTCTGGCTCTTCTCACCAGGCACTGCAAAGTCACTGGCAGCGTGGACCCGAGCGGAGTCTCAGCTGGAACGCGGCAGCCCCGCACCCTGAAATCGGAACCTGGCCCGCTCTTGGCCAGGACGTAGGGCAAAATCTCCGCTGCCTGTTCTTTCTTTATCGTTTTAGAGGAGCCTTCTGCTTCCTTTCTCTCCCTTTGCTGGGAACGGCAGCCAGCCGGCCTCCTCGGCCCTCGCGCTCAGCCGACTCCTCTGTCCTTTTCTGTACAGTAAGTGCCTTTGCTTCGCTGTCCTCCCCTGGCTCCCGGCTGCTGTGTGAGCCCCAGCTTGCCTCTCCGCTCTGTCTGCCGTCGCCGTTGAGCGTCGCGTCCTGCTACGGTGGGGATCCTGGCACGGAGGCATTTTAGCCTCTCGGGGCCCGGAGCTTCTGAGCTCCTACTGGCGGGAACAGCAGCCTGTTCCAGGAGCCCTGAGTCTGCAAGTCCTGACGCCTGGAGACAAAGGGGGCATTTCGAGGCGGATTTAGGGATCCCCCCTCCAGCGTAGGGCCGGACCACACGCAATCAATTTTCCTGGGGAGTGTCTGTCTCTTTCTGAGTCAGGGGCCATGTCCATGAGGGTTGGGGTGTTTTTTTGTGTTTTGGGGGGCTTGGGGCTCTTTTTCTTTGCTTCTCCCTGGTGTGTAGCCCCTGATTTGATTTTTCTGTGGGTCAGTGGCCCCCGACCCTAAAAGTTCCCCCACCCCTGCGTTACGGTCTACTGCGGAGAAAGCAAATAATACCCTCGAGAAGCTATTCTCACTCCCCTCTTAACAAAATGCAGGACTATGTAGCACTTTAAAGACTAACAAGATGGTTTATTAGATGATGAGCTTTCGTGGGCCAGACCCACTTCCTCAAATCAAATAGTGGAAGAAAATAGTCACAACCATATGTACCAAAGGATACAATTAAAAAAAATGAACCCCTCTTAACGTGAGGGTGCACCAGCTGCGAGCCGGTCCGTCTCGTTCATTCAATATGCAGATGAGCGTTTTCACGAGGCAAACCTCGTGGATTTCAGCACCACGCAAGCCTGCCCTGGCATTGGTTCTCCTTCCATTCTCCCCGCACGCTGTCTGGGCTCGCCAAACCGTATCCTGCCGGCTCAGTCTTTTTTCCAGCCGCTCGCAATCTCTCCCGCTGCTCCTCCTCCTTCCTCATCTCGAATTTGCTCCTCGTCCCTCTTCCATTTTGCGCTCAGGCCGGCTGGCCCTGCTGCCCTTCTGAGGCTGAGACCCGCGCGTGTCATGGAGCGGGCTGTGAGACGGTTTCCAGTAGCGCAGGTAATGGGGTCATGAGGGCAGCAGAGCTAACGTTTTACTGCCTGCTCTTATCATCCTCAGCCAGCCCGAGGCAGCCCTTGGGAACTACACATCCCAGCATGCACCATTCCATCTGGCAGCAAGCGTTTGAGGGGTTTTTTTTGTCGAAAAGGCTCTTTGTTCCATGAAGAGGTTGTCACCGGGGCCTGTGTGGTGTCACTTAGGAAGAGTTGTGGAGGGCGACAATTGCTGGGCCCCTGGGTAAAGTGTGTGGGAGTCTGGCTCTGTGCTCCGGGAAGGGGCGGGGCCTCAGGCAGAAGGGGTGGAGCCTGATGTGGAAGGGGCGTGGCTGGAGCTAGCCTTCCCCACCAACTCTTCAGTGACACCTGGGGCTCCGGCGGTGATTTAAAGGGCCCAGGTCCGGGGAGAGTGTTTTATTACAGCAAATCTGCCGAGGGCAACAGGGAGTGACTGGTTTTGCAGGACCTTCCTGAGAAACCCGCAAAGGCCAGGGGAGCTGCACATTTGACCGGGCGACCTGCCAAAGGCTGGAACGTGTCTCTATCGGGGAGCAGATTGAAGACCCGAAAGAAATCGTGTTCCAAAGATGGCCGTCAGACGGCAGTCAAACCTGCCATCTGCTCCTAACGCACAGTCCAGGAGCACCCTAGCAATATGGCCCATTAGCGCAGATAACTCCCCTTGGGGAACGGAAGATACAGCCACGCCCTGGGACCCTGCAGTCTGAAATCAGGCATAACACCTCTCTGGAGACACCGGGGCATGTTGTCTTCCAGATCCCATCCTTAAGTCCTGATTCAGCAGCGCACTTGGCTGCGCGCTTGAATCCTCTTGAAGCCAATGAGAGGCACACATGAGCACATAAGAACTAGGGGTCACCAAATGAAATGAATAGGTAGCAAGTTTAAAACCAACAAAAGGAAGTTTCTCTTCTTGCAGCGCGCAGTCAACCTGTGGAACTCCTTGCCAGAGGATGTTGTGAAAACCAGGGTTCAAAAAAGAGCTAAATAAATGGATGGAGGATAAGCCCATCCGTGCCTTTTAGCTAATGAGAGGCACACATGAGCCGAACAGGGAGGCCGGCCTGTCTCTGGGCTCGAAATATGAACTCATGTTCCTGAGCGTAGAAGCCAGTCCCCACAACAATCGTGGTGCATTCTGTAGTCTTTGTGCAATCTGATTGAAACCTGTAGAGAAGCCATCCGGCTCCCCTATCCAGGGCTAGCAGTGCAGCCTGCAGGCGGTCGCCTGCCAAACACACGGCGAATGATTATAACCCGGATCTGTCTTGTTTGCAGCTCAGTGGGACGATCCTTTTCATCGTGCTCTTAATTCTGTTCCTGTTGCTGGCCTTGGCGCTGCTCTGGTGGTTCTGGCCTTTGTGCTGCACGGTGGTGAGTACCGACGTTGAACTTCCTGACTTGGTTTCCGAAGCTGGAGGGAGTAGACGGGGAGATGCTCCAGCAAAAGGAGCTGACTTGAATTTCGTTCCTCTTAGGCGAGAAACTGGCCTGCCTGTAAGGCCCCCGTTCAGCAAAGCACATAAAACGTGTGTCTAGTTAGTCAGCTTTGGGGGACTTCAGTACATGCTGGAATTGACATGGGTGATTAAGAGCTTTGCTCTTCCTAAATGCATGGGACGTCCACCTCTTGAACGCTGTGTACCCATGTGGTCGCCCTGTGAGTGTGTGTGTGTGGAGCGTAACAGACGCTTGCCGACATTTACCGATAAAAATCAAATCCCTCTGCATCGGCCTGTACTGTGAGCACAGGGGGGCAGAGACGACAGAGCAGGGGGCATTGGCAGCCACAGGGATACAAGATGTATCTTTGATTCTTTCCGTTGCCTGTGTGTCCCAGGTCATCAAGGAACCGCCTCCTCCACCACCCCCAGAGCCTGTAAGTATTTTATTTTTCATTTGACTGCGGTCTGCAGCCGCTGCAATATAGCACCCAGGCTAGGGACGTGGGGAGAGTCATAACAACACCCCCGAGGCAGAGAAAGCCTGTCTCCAGGGTCAGGCAAGGGTTATCGATAGCTCCAGGTCGTTGTGCTCTTCATCCGTGGAAAAATACCTGCATAACCCCCAGCAAGATGCCTCGAGAATCACACACGAGTGTTTCCTAAGCTGCGAAGACACTGGGCCCAGTGCTGCTGTCCTTGCTCGGGCAAAATAACCATTGCTCTCAATGGGAATGCAGCCCGAGGAAGGCGAGAAGGTGTGAGCGTCCCTCTTGAGGGACAAGGCTCTTGAGCGTAGGGTTGGGCCTCGCGGTGGGTAGGCACGATGGGGCCCTAAATTCAGGTGAGGGGAGGTGCCCGCCTATTTCCGCTCCTCACGCACGGTGTTCCTCTGTGGCACACACGATGGCCTCCCTCGCACGAACAGGCGGCTCTCGGCTGCGCACGTGCTGGAGCTTGGCAGACCTCCACAGCAGCCATTTTGAGGTTGCCGAGGGCAACCTTTACCGTCTCTGGGAGCCTGTGATTTGTCCTCTGTGGCAATTTAACGTGTGAGGCCCGGAGGTGCTGAGGGGATATTGTGGAGAGACCTGACTGAACCTACGCATTCTCTGCCCCCGCAACAGGCGTCCGGGTCAGACCGTCGGCCCCGCTCCGCTGAAATCAGTGCCGTGCTCCTCCGCTGAGGTAAATTGCATCGGAGGCAGCAAAACTGCCCTAATTTACCTCAGTGGACGATCCCCCGACATGTCTCCAGGGAGGTGCATGCAAGATCTTCCCCAGCACGGCATGAGGCTAAGCCAGGAAAGAGCTAACCCAGATCTGGACTCCTTCACATTTTGGGTTTGTTTAAAAAACCACCCCAACCCCCGTTTTTAGAATGGGCAGAGCAAGCCCCCGACACCCCAGCCCCCCGAAGGTACAGAATCCAGTGCCAGACGTGACAGGTTGCGGCGTGAGCTGGGTGCAACCGTGAGGAAAGAACAGGCCGGCGTGCGTGTTAGGGAGTTCGCAGAGATGCCCTTTTCTGCGGTGCCGAAAGCACAGCTAATAAAGGGTTTCGCTGGGTTAAGTGGCAGTCACATTCGATTGGAACAGAGCCGCGAGCCCAGAATAATGTACAATTCATCTCCCCTGGGTCGTCCCCCTTAAAGCCGGTTGTGCTTTTTGCCGCTTTGTGCGTGTCTGCCTGTATATAAAAGCAGCCCGAAGAGAGACGCGAACCGACCGTCGGCTTCGGTTTCTCTCGGAAACACTGCAGCTGTGGAGACAAGAGACTTTTGTTCTCCGTCAACCCATAGCCGGGGGAGGACCGTAGGACGTTCGCTTCCCAGGCAGTGTCCATGAACAGCGTCCGCTCTCTCTTTCCCGCAGGATTCGGATGATGAAGACGGATTGCCCAAGAAAAAGTGGCCGACCGTGGATGCATCTTATTACGGAGGCAGAGGCGTTGGTGGGATTAAGCGGATGGAGGTACCCGGCCCTTTTTGATTCCTGAGCTGCTGTGGACAGAACCGTTCCTGGCAAATCACGGCGAGGCCTTTTTCCCATTCTTTTGAGAGCGTGAGCATAATGGGACAGGCTATTGTTTTAATTAGGAGGCATCTCCAGCCATCCAGCTGCCGTAGCGTGCAATTAACGGTGTCTGGAATTATTAGTGAGGGCAAGATTGTCGGCGGAGAGATGGGATTAGGACCCGTCCGTTTGTTGGGTCAGCTCCTCCGATGGTGTCCGTGGGTCTCGCCCTACGACTTCGGTGGAGCGAGGCCAATTTATCGCAGCTGAGTGGCCAGAGCTAATTGGCCAAATGGAAGAGAAGCAATTGCTCTTAGCCCCAGGGGTCGGGGAGTGACAAGCAGGCAGTGAAAGCTGATGCACTGTCAGAGCGCAGACACACAGGGCAAATTCTGCCCTTGCATGCATGGACTCAGCTCCAGTTGGAGCCCAGGGTTAGGAGGGACAGGAAGGGACATCTCATCTACCCCCCTGCAAGATGTTGTGTCTAAACCATCCAAGACAGCCCTCTCGGACGCAGCTATGGAGAACCCTTTGCCGAGGAACCTGTTCTAGTGACCGTGCCAACCCTGGCTGAAAGCCACAACTCAAACCAACCTTTCAGGGCTCTTCCTCGTTCCTGGATGCCTTCCTCACCTCTGGCCTAGAGGGCCCTCAGCGTGGGGCTATTGGGTGGAGACCACCCAAGAATGTTAGCTACTCCCCCACCATCAAGCGACCATTGGTGGCATTCGTGTTGCTAGAAGATGCAGGCTCCAGCAGATTTCTGCCCGGCTGTTTTCAGGGGAGATTTGTTAACTCTGGAACATGGATAGGGTATGTCTCATGACCTTCAGGGCGTGTCTAGACTACAGGGTTTTATCGACAAAAGTGGACTTTTATCGACAAAACTATACCTGCGTCTACACTGCCGCTGAGTTCTGTCAACATAACGTCACCAGAACTGAGCAGTTTTGTGGACGGTGGTAAACCTCATTCGGCAAGGAATAATATCTTTTGTTGCCAGAGTTCTGTCGCCAGAAGGCGTTATTGCATCTACACTGTCCTTTGCGTCTACACTGTCATGTTGGCAAAGCGGCTTGCTTTGTCAACAGAACTGGATGTCGTCTAGACGCTCTGTCAACAGAAGTTTTCTCAACAGTATCTGTCAACAAAACTTCTGTTGACAAAAGCCTGTAGTCTAGACGTACCCTCAGAGTCTAGTGTAACATGCATCTGATGACCCGAGGTTTCGTCCAAGTAAAGATACAGAGGAAAGGAGCCTGCTGGCTAAACACCTGTCTGGAAGATCGGGTGGGGAACTGATTTTTTGACATTTCCTCTTTATGGAGCATGTTGGTAATTAATTAGGGGATTCTCCCGGCTCACTCTTTGGTGGCTGTGTGTCATGATGGGCTGTTGTGACCGTCATTTTGCTCTCCAGGAGGTCCGGTCTCCCCGAGATCTGGGTGCCTGTTTCACAGGCGCTGAGAGAAACTAGAAGTGGCTGGTTAAGACGTTTGCCGGCCGTGCTCACGTCCTCTTTATGGAGCATGTTGGTAATTAATTAGGGGATTCTCCCGGCTCACTCTTTGGTGGCTGTGTGTCATGATGGGCTGTTGTGACCGTCATTTTGCTCTCCAGGAGGTCCGGTCTCCCCGAGATCTGGGTGCCTGTTTCACAGGCGCTGAGAGAAACTAGAAGTGGCTGGTTAAGACGTTTGCCGGCCGTGCTCACGGACAGTTCTGCATCCACCATGTGTTCTTCCCCCGTCAGGTGAGGTGGGGAGGCAAAGGCTCGACAGAAGAAGGGGCCAAACTCGAGAAGCCCAAAAATGCCGTCATCAAATTGCCGGAGCAGGAGTACGAGCCGTGGGAGCCCAAGCCGAAGAAACCCCATGCGAGGAAGCCACCGTCGCAGAGGAAGTGGTACGCTCCCATCAAGGTAATGCGTCTGAACTTCGTAGGTGTCCCCGAACCTGCGTCCATTTCTGGGACCTCTCAGCAGGCAGCGAAGACTTGGGTGGCAGCTTTCACCTCTTTTTCTGCCCCGGGGTTCCGGCAGGAGATCCCAGGATCTGTTCTCAGGACAGCAGCAGCCCAGCAAGGCACGGCCAAGGGGGCAGGGGATGTGGAGGAGGTGGGAAGGACAGCCTTGTGGTTCTGGCCCTGGACTGGGACCCGTGGATTTCAGCGCTCTGCCTGCTCAGCTGTGCCAAAACCCCCTTGTGGGCCTTGGCCAAGTCAATTTGGGTCAGATTTGTAAAGGTCTTCAGGCCCCAGCAGAGGAAAAAGTTCCTCAGAAGGCTTTGCAAATGCGCCACTGAAATCAGGGGGACTCCGGTGCCTCTAACTTTCGAAAAACTTTTAAACTCTAACCTGTCCCTGTTGCTGCTGCTGCTGCATCTTTAACACCCAGGCTTGGTTCATTGATGTCCGTGTCGTGCACTGAGATCCTCCATTGGAGGGCTAGTGAATTTCAGGGTGTTACGAAGCAGGGGTGTCAAATCCCAGTTAACCGGTGAAGTGGTACATTTAATTGTGTCACCAGGATCCTGCGTGCGAGAGCCGTTCCAGCCCAGCGTGGCACAGCAGACCTGGCCAGGCTGGAGTGGCCCCTTTCCCGTGGACCACCGGTTAATCAGTTGCCAGTTAGCATCATCCGGTAAAGGGAATGCTGACCAGTTACCCAGTTACAGCCCTGCTATCAGGATTGTATAACAGCTCATCTTTTGGATGCATCTCTGTGCCAAATTTACTGTCCTGTCTTTTATGGGGTTGCCCATCCTTAGATTTACCACAAGGGTCTTTGGTTCTTGGCTAGTTCTGAATGCCATCTAACCGCCTGCACCTCGCTGCACCTGCTGGTCTCTGTTCATTGCTCAGATTAAGCCCGATGCATCCTCGCGGGAACTCCAGGCACGTGGATTTGTTCCGTTATACGCACTGGCTTGGCCCCGAGGCACTCCAGTTTTCAGAGATGGCTGTGCTATAAATACACCGACAGATAATAACAAGTCTACAACGAGTGGTGGCCTGCAGGCCAGTCCGGGGGCCGCCGGTGAAACGCGGTAATACCCCAGCACGCCGACTGTCGTTCAGTTTCACGTTGTTCTCTGCAGCACTGTGGGACATGTCATGTTTTTCTGATTCCAGGGCAAGCTGGACGCGTTGTGGGCGCTGGTTCGCCGAGGCTACGACCACGTCTCTCTTATGAGGCCGCAGCCAGGGGATAAGGTAAGCCGTCACGGATGCACCGCCATGTCGATTCTCGGCAGTAATTCTAATTTTTCCCCCGCGTCCCTCTCTGGATTACCCTGAGGGTGAAACCCATCACTAGGTCCCCAGGTTTTGGAATGAGCTAAAATGTTGGCAGTGGCATCTGTGTAAATAGATTGTCTCTTGTGCCTGGTCACTGCCACCCTGGCCTTTGAGCAGACGCAGGTAGGGACCGGTTTGTGCGAAGAGGCAGATTCCTTCTTTTGACAGCTGCTGCTTCTCCAGGCTGCGCCTTGCCTTGGTCGCTGCAAGCCGAGAGGCCCTGGAAGCCGGCGTGGGGCTTCTCCGGTTGGGCTCGCGAAGAGGCCGGCGGGGTCCGCTGTGAGTGGGCAGCGTAGCCGGCGGACTGACGGCTCACAAGGCGCCTTACCCACGCAGCAGCAGAATTAAATGAGAAATCATAAATCACGCCAGAGCCCCGCCCTTCTGGGAACATTCCCAACCACTGAACAGAGAACTTTTCCGGGGATTCTAGGGCAGGGCGCAATTCCCTGCTGCCACCCAGACGTGGCTTTACAATGCCGGAGCCGGGATCTCCGGCGTTGGGCCGTTCCATGGGCTCCGTCTGCCGGGAGTGAGAGTCACAGCTGTGCCAGGCTGCAGATCTGGTTCCAGCGCATTTCTAGAAGGACTCCATCAGTTTCACTCCTGTTGTGTTCTGGCGGACTTTCCCATCGGGCACGGCTCCTCTGCAGGGGAGAGCCACGCTGGGGAGGTTGGCTCTCATGGGTTTTCTCCCTGGGGAAGTGACAGGAACTTCCCATCCCCAGATCTTCCACTAGCCAAGGCTGTTGGCCCAGATGCCCCATGCCTGTAGGCAGCCTCCTGGTTTAGGTGGCAGCAGTTTTGTCACCATCAGGACCTGGTCTAGTACTACCGGCTCTGTTGGGGATCTGGGGGGAAGCGTTGCCCAGACATTGTATCCTTCTCACCTGGGCCCTCCCGCCCTCTGATCTGGGTTTGTGGAGCCCTGCAAATCCACGGATATCTGCCACGTAGCCCCGGGTATCGCATCCCTGGGTGTGAATGCGGCGATCCACGGCTCGTCTTTGCGGGCGCGGATACGACTTTTGTACTGAGAACCCGGGAAATGTGAGGCTACGGGCTTTATCGCCGGGGGGATCTGCCTCTGCGGCGGGGGCTGCGGATCCCTGCCGATTGCTTTGGCGGAAGCGGAACCACATTTGGATTTGTGCCACGGATCTGGAGATGGGCGGTGGGGAGAAGACGGAAGCTGCTCCTGTCCCTTTCTGTGCCCTGGGCCGGTGGGAGCATCTGGCTGGCAGCTGCGATGGAGCTGCATCCGTGCTGTAGCAACCAGCAAGTGGCTGTGGCCGCTGGTAGCCAAGCAGGCTAACGGCAGATTGGAGTTGCATTAGGAGGAGCAATGCCAGCAGAGCCAGAGAAATGATTATTCCTCTTTATTCAGCACTGGTGAGGCCACATCTGGAGTATTGTGTCCAGTTCTGGGGCCCCCACTACAAAAAGGATGTGGACGCATTGGAGAGGGTGCAGCGGAGGGCAACCAAAATGGTGAGGGGGCTGGAGCACATCACCTACGGGGAGAGGCTGAGGGATTTGGGCTTGTTCAAGCTGCAGAAGCGAAGAGTGAGGGGGGATTTGAGAGCAGCCTTCAACTTCCTGAAGGGAGGTTCCAAAGAGTCTGGAGAGAGGCTGTTCTCAGTGGTGACGGATGCAGAACGAGGAGCAATGGGCTCAAGTTGCAGTGGGGGAGGTCTAGGTTGGAGATTAGGAAAAGCTATTTCCCTAGGCGGGTGGGGAAGCGCTGGGATGGATTCCCTAGTAGGTGGTGGAATCTCCATCCCTAGAGGTGTTGAAGTCCCGGCTTGACAAAGCCCTGGCCGAGTTTTGGGCTGGAGGCTGGACTCAGTGTCTCCTGAGATCTCTGCCTGCCCTGGGATTCACTAGAGTCTCTTATTTACTCCTTAAGCGCAGCCCTGGGCTGGTGAATAGGCGATTGAGGCCCAGCTGTATTTTGATAGCAGGCACATTGTACGGCGAGGGGTTTCTATCCATGCCGAGCACAGTCCGGCCACTGTCAGAGCAGTCAGGAAACCTGCGAGGCGGTGCCTGAAAACAGGGATTCTCAGTTACTCGCCCACATCCCTGCCGTGTGCAGTAGGCACAGAACTGAGCAAAGAGGCGATTTCAAATGGAGCGAGCCGAGAGATCGCTGTGTTCGGGGGGACATTAGAAAATCAACCGTGCATCTGGGGAAATAGGCTGGAAAGAATCCCATTGAGTTACATTCAGCGGAAGAATAAGGCTCATCTCTGTTCTACGGGCTGTGAAATTAACGCTCACTGAAGAATATTGAAAGGGAAGCAAGAAGATGACAGGGCATGGTTCTGTTTTCCGAAAAAGGCGCTGGCAGAAGTTGCTTTTCAGTCCAGAGCCAGCAGTGCCGGGAGCTATGCTGTTGGGCGTTACTTGTATTCGGGAGCTCCTACAAGCCCCCGATGAGATGGGGTCCCTGGGCAAAAATATAGACCCTGATCTGAAGAGATTGCAGGGTTGCAGGGCCTTTCATGTGTGTGAACCTCTGCCTGCAAGCGAAAAGAATAACCCCATTAGCTCTGAGTGAATAGCAGGCTTTTAACCTCACCCGGGCCAGCCTCTGGAAGGAGACATGATCAGTTTCGCACAGGCTCAGTGGCAAGGCTAGACGGATTTTCTCATTTCGTTTTCCCCCGGCTCGTCGGATGGGGCTTCCCGGGAACCAGGGTTGGAATGGGTCTGAAATTTCCAAATGTGGAAGTTTTGCACAGGACTTTTGACCGATTCCTGCCCCCCTCTGCAAAAAAGGGGATAAAAAAATCATGTCGGCATTTTTCCCATTCGCCGCTCCTTCCCCACTTTTCGCTGTGTTGCCCATTCATGGTTTTAACCCAAGCCTCGCCATAGTGGGTGTTTTTCTTTGGGCCTAGCTCCCGGAGTCAAGTGGTTATGTAAGAATCTTGATTTTTTTTTTTTAAAAGGGAGACATTTCTCGCGCCCTCCTGGGCCGTGTCCAGACTCAGGGGTTTTTTCGGGAAAAGCCTACTTTTCCCGAAAAAACTTCCCCTGCGTCCAGACTCAAGCCGCGTTCTTTTGAAATTATTTCGAAAGAACGCGGCTTTTCTTTCGATGGTGGTAAACCTCATTTCACGAGGAAGAACGCCTTCTTTCGAAAGCTCCTCTTTCGAAAGAAGGCGTTCTTCAATGTAAAGAGGCCGTCTTCGAAAGAGAGCATCCAGACGCGCTGGGTGCTCTCTTTCGAAAAAGCGGATTTCTCTTTCGAAAGAAGCCTGCAGTCTAGACGCGATCTTTCGAAAGAGGCTCTTTCGAAAGAAGCCTGCAGTCTAGACATAGCCCTGGTGGTGGGAAAATGCTTGAACACACAAGCCCTGACAGCAGGCAAAAAGAACACAATGTGTATTAGTGTTTAAAAAAAAGTCATGGTTTTTTAGCCGGCCTTCTGATTTTGGGAGGTGTGGGGTGTGGCACTGCTGTGTTTTGTGACCAGCTGGAATCCTGGTGGTGTGTCTTGAATGCACAAAACCTGCTCAGACTCAGGCATTAGAAAAGGTTCAGAGAAGGGCAACTAAAATGATGAGGGGTTTGGAACGGGTCCCATATGAGGAGAGATTAAAGAGACTGGGACTTTTCAGCTTGGAAAAGAGGAGACTAAGGGGGGATAGGATTGAGGTCTATGAAATCATGAGTGGTGTGGAGAAAGTGAATAAGAAAAAGTTATTTACTTGTTCCCATAATATAAGAACTAGGAGCCACCAAATGAAACGAATGGGCAGCAGGTTTAAAACAAATAAAAGGACGTTCTTCTTCACACAGCGCATAGTCAATCTGTGGAACTCCTTGCCTGAGGAGGTTGTGAAGGCTAGGACTATAACAGGGTTTAAAAGAGAACTAAATAAATTCATGGAGGTTAAGTCCATTAATGGCTCTTAGCCAGGATGGGTAAGGAATGGTGTCCCCAGCCTCTGTTTGTCAGAGGGTGGAGATGGATGGCAGGAGAGAGATCGCTTGATCATTACCTGTTCGGTTCACTCCCTCTGGGACACCTGGCCTTGGCCACTGTCGGCAGACAAGGTACTGGGCTAGATGGACCTTTGGTCTGACCCACTGTGGCCGTTCTTATGTTCTTCTGACTTTGAAGGAAGATGGAAGGCGTCTGTTTGCCAGAGATCTAAGAAACTGCAGGTGGGGTGAGTTTCTGGCCACTGGGCCGGGTGACGCACTGGGATCTGAACTCAAAAAGGAAAGCGGGTTTTGCATTTTGTTTTACATTTACAATAAGCGTCCAAATTCCCCACAATGTTCTTTCGTTAATTGAAAGCGTAGGACTCTGCTGGGGGGACCTGATCTCGTGTCGTCCTTTCTGGTGAGCAACACAAAGGTGTGTTTTTCCAGTTTTCCAAATCCATTCTTCCTCCTGGGTGTTGTCTGTGCTTGGAGCCAAGCGTGTGATTCCCAGCTCGTAGAGACGTACCCCATGGTATCACTGCTCTACCAAGAGCACTACAAATAGAAGTGGATTTGGGGGCAGCGCAGCTGTCTGAGTACAGTCCAACCTGAGCCCCTGGATATGTACTCGTCTGTTGCCTGTGCCAGCCTAATAGTGCTGCTATCCAGGAGGAGATCAGAGTGTGTGTGTGGGGGAGGGGGACTGGAGGGCCTAGTGGTTGGAGCACAGTTATTCCCACCCCCTTCCAGTCTCCTGCATCTGCACAGAGCCCAATGCAGGAGCCAATCTCCCTCCTTCCCCCCCCTGCTGGCAGTATGGGCCTGCCTTCCCGAGCGGGGGCAGGGAGCTATAGATGTCGGCTCCCCGCCCCCCCTCTGCATGGGGATGAAGGCGGGGTGCCCCCGTTCAGGGCCGACTTCAGCAAATCCGCCCTGGTTTGCAGTTCAGCAGATCCTACGCCAGGAAATGTTCCGCAGCTTGGTTTGCCAAAACCCTGCGCTGAAAAAAGCGGCATTCTTTCCCCGCCCGCCGGCTCTGGGGCCTTGACGCTTTCAGAAAAGGAGCTGATTGTTGTCCCTGAAAATGACTCCCCGGGAAGTGAAATCTGACACTTGACGGCAGGCATCCTGCCCCATCACACTGCGGGTGAGCCCCCGGGTCCGTCAGCTGTGAGCCAGGGACCCTTCCCCGGTGGTTTGCAAGTTCAAGGCTCTTCCCAGGGGAAAAGGGGGGCGACGGACTCAGTCGGAGAACCGGAAAGCTGAATGGAGCCTGGAATTTTTCTCATTCCTCAAAATCAGAGGAACGCTTCCAGGGCATCAAAGCTGGGCTGCCTAGGATTATAATCACTGACAGACAGAACTCCGGCGTTCTCTTCTGTGCTTAGCCACTGACTCCTGGTGGGAACTCGAGTGAATCCCTAACAGGGGCCTGAAATCTTGGGAACGTTAGTAGCAGAGTTCGTCTTGGGGGTGGCTTACAAAGGGGCCAAGTCCCCCCCACCCACTAAAGTGGTGGGTGCCCCTCATTACAGGGACCCAGGTGTCCTGGCCTCACTGCCCCAGCTGCGCAGTTGCTTTTTGAATGGTTGTCTTTCACTGCTGTCTGCCTCAGTTTCCCCATCTGTACAGTGCTTATGTGGCAGTGGGAGGCTTAGGAGGCACTTAGGGCCGGGTGAGTGAAAGCTTCTATAGAAGGACCAAGAGTTAATTGCTAATAATTATTTCCAAATTGGTGCCCATCAGTCATCAGCAGGTTGGGTTCTGCAACTAATGTGCCCTCTACTTTTCGCCATTCATGTGTGGAATACATTTTATTGTATGCACCAAGGCATGTGCAGATGTGCACCAGCACTAGAAACAGAGGCTGCTGGCTATGGGTGCTCTGCTAATCAGTTGGGCGGCACCAGCATCTCGCTCGAGCGCTCAGCTGCCAGGGAACTCTGTCTGCCGCCCTTACTCACGTGCGTAACCCTTGCCCACAGAAGTAAGCCCGTGGGCACCACTTGTTGGATCACGGCTTGCGCGTGCCGGGAAAGCACGTTGAGATCTCAGGAGGGGGCAAAGCATGATTGATCCACAGTGATTCTTTGCTCCTCGCACTCTGTCTGGGCTGTCAACCCAGAGCACGGCAGCTGCTCGGCTTTGATCTGTCGATGGCTGCGGCATGTGCTGGGAAGAATTTGCTGTTGCAGGAGCCGATCGCTGGGTGCCAGCTGCGATTGGAGGCGCGCGCCGATAATCTGTTGTGAGGCGATGTCACCGCCCATCCATCGATCACCCCGGTCGCGCTCTGTCAAACTCCAGACCCAGCCGTATTTTTCATGACACAACGTGATGCGTGGCCTTTCCACTTTCCAGCTGTCGGACGCGTCAAAGAGTCTGGCAGCTCCGGGATGTCTCCGGTCACTTTCACTGAAGGGAAAGTTACGCAGGCTGATGTCTGGGCCCTCTTTTGAGCATACACGTGCACCCATTTGAGGCTGATGTTTGGAGGTGAGAAAGGGCAGCCAAAACTCGCAGGTTAAAATCCTGCTGTGTGTTTGGGTTGAGCCTGTCACAAAAGCTATGCCTGGGATACTTCCCGCCCACTTAATTTTCCTCATTAACACGGGTCCTACAAGTGACAGGGAGCTGCTTTTGCTGTTACATATCTCTTGGATTCTGTTCCACTCCAGCGCATCTGAGGAAGTGGGTTTTACCTCGTGACCCTGTATAGTTTGGTTCATCTCTGAGGCTTTGTCTACACGCCAAGCGTTGCTGGAAGAGGCAATGCAAATGAAGCACGGATTAGCGTTTTCTGGCGCGTC